GAAGTCCTTTTCCACGGCAGATTTTTGTTGAACAGTTCACGCGTGATGAAGATTGGAGGCAGGAGCAGCTTTGTTAGGATTCCTACGCGTCTTGTCTTGAATTTATACCAATTTTTTTCGTCCTGTATTTTGTCCTTATCTTTCATCGTCAGCGCGGGCGCTTTCAGCGCTAATTGAATTTAGAGGCAAAGGCTTTCTTTATTGAGACCTCACGCCTGAGCCGCTTAGGCCTACACCGGCCTGACAACGGCGTGCCTAGAGTTCCTAACTCAACAGTGTTCCTTACTCAACAGTGTTCCTCACACACTAATGTTCTCCTCTCACTAGTGTTCTCCACTCACTAGTGTTCTCCACTCACTATAGTGTTCTCCTCTCACTGGTGTTCTCCACTCACTGGTGTTCTCCACTCACTGGTGTTCTCCACTCACTGGTGTTCTCCACTCACTAGTGTTCTCCTCTCACTAGTGTTCTCCACTCACTAGTCTTCTCCACTCACTAGTGTTCTCCACTCACTAGTGTTCTCCTCTCACTAGTGTTCTCCACTCACTAGTAATCTCCACTCACTAGTTCTCCACTCACTGGTGTTTTCCACTCACTAGTGTTCTCAACCGACTGATTTCCCCTAGTGCTGATAATGAACGATTGGTATTTGTTTTATCAGTTAATCGAAATAATCGTTCCCTTATAATCATATAATGCATGATTTCGTCTTAATCATTTCGTCGTTTAATATCATAATCATGAAGACGGCTGAAAATGATTTACACTTACGTTCACAATCTTAAAATTTAAGCGATGAGACACACGAATTTATTTGGATGATGTTTTGAAATGCTTAAGAGGCCCGTGGACGCGCTCAGCCGAGATAGTAGCTTACGGAGTTTTATAACTATTTTGAACTGCAATAACTCCCCTCATAAATAAGATACAAGTCTGAAATTTGGAATGCTGTCCTGGCTAATTATTTTCAATATGCAGGCATTAGGATAAATTATGTAAACTTTTTATTTCAACTGTTATCAGGGAGGATAAAATTATGCACCCCGATGTTCCTATAGCGTGTGTCTTTTCTAGCATTTTCTCGATATACGGCGGTTTAACTATTTATTCTTCATTGATCGCTACCCCAAACATTTCTGAATTATTATTCTAGTATTAGATATATGCTTTAGAAGCCCAAAGGTAGGTGAAGATGCGCATGACCTGAATGCGTTTTGATACAGCAGTTAATTATCATCATATATGCTCCAGGTATTGATTACTTGAACGTACTAACCGCTCGCTAACATGCTACAACCCTTGAGCATTGTGATGTTATTGAGGCTATTGATTTTAGGACGTGAATTATCTTGCACCTACTTTGTTCTTCACAAGTTATTGAGATATATAATGATGTCTATGCTATATTTTAGGACAAGATTGCTTGGCGAAATGTTGATTATACTTTTCTATATATACCAGATTGAAATTATATTCCACTGTTCCCTTAACCTAGTTTCCTTGGCCAATTGTGATAATTACACATCACGGATAATTGAATGTGAAGACATCTGCCGATGGCACGTAACCGATGTGTTGGCAATGCTATAGTTGGTACAATTCTTAAATCTGAATTGTACATGTGGTATTATTAGACCTCAATTGGATAGGTATTATAATAGCTTAGTTTGTGCTAGATTATGTATTTCTTACCGCGTATTTAGTAATTCAGACTCCTGGCAGCTATTGTCAGTTTTAAATGTAATGATTAAGTTGAAAAAAAATATAAATTTTGACTCCAACTTGTAGGGCACGTTGGAGCTGATGTGAATGATGGAACTGGAGTCGCGTCATCTATCGTGCAGTGATCACAAATTCTTGGATCAAGACGCAAGAATTCATCTCGGAACCTTTGGGGCAGGGTGACCCAGTGGTTAAAGTTCAGATAACCAAGATTGGCGCAGAGAGGCGCGGGTTCGATCCCAGCTCCGTGCCCAGTTTCTGGTCAGAAACTGGCGAGGAGGCCGGGCGGTTAAGCACAGCAGAATTGTAGCAGTGCGTTGCGAGTTCGAAACCTCAAAATGCTGTGAATATTCTGCGATGTTAAGAATCGGTGACAGGCCTACGGCCTAATAAACGCTGAAACCGCTATTATTTATTTATTATAAAACATTTTGACCAAGCGGGTACGGGCGTTAACTGTGTAGTTAACCAAGTACTCGTATTTCCAGCTAAACTCAAACGAAAAATGATTGAGGCATTTCGCTTTTTGAGTGGTCATCGCAAACCACACATTTGTTAACTTCTAATCCTATTTCAAATTTATTGCAGTCATTAAACGACTGAACGGGTCGCGACTAATCTTAACGCCTTTTACCCCAACGAATCCGATGTCTTGCATCGCTGCCGCGTCACAAACGTTTGTGCCGCCACCATCTTTGCTGCTCACCTCAGTGTCGTCTCCGATGTTACCTTCAGTGCCGTCCTCAACAGTTCAATCAATTGATTGAACTGTAATTAATTTCCTTACCTTGATCCTAAAATCAATTTCCTTACCTTGATCTTAAAATCAATTTCCTTACCTTGATCCTAAAATCAATTTCCTTACCTTGATCATCTTGTTGGCTACATACAAAATACGACGGCCTTTCACTGCTAGCGTACCAACTTCCAGATGACTCCTCATCTGGATCTAGAAGTGCTTGCTCTCCTCTCTGGAAGCCGTAAGTAGTTATCCTACCCTGAAGGCGACTGTGAGAAGAGTAGATTCGGTGCTTTTTGAAGAGCGCATAGCTCGCTTGCCAAGTTCCTCAGAAATAAATAGCCTCTCATTCAAGTATTGTCTTCAACTAGAATTTGGAATTCAATTAAAATATATAGTGGGATTCCGTTTCCAATTAGTTGCCTTTTTTGCCAATTAGTTGTACCTTACTATGAATAATTCTGCCAAGAGAGAATTGATTATTGCACTGATTACATAAATTAATTAATTGATTTTCAACTGATAATTAATGCCTAATTTGATCGTTGCCAATTGATAATTTCTTATTCTATATGGACTTAATTAATTATATTTCATTTAGAATAGAAGTGTCGGCACTGCAGAAATAGGCCCATGGCCTGTTGCCGATTCTTGAATTTTTCGTGACTTGATTCACAAGGGATCCGGCCTTTGGAATCCGATCTTTCCATAGCTGACGATTGATTGAGATAGCTGCTGGACTTATTGCCTGGTCACCACATTTTGGTCGCGATGCAGGTGATGGTGGTGGTGAGAAAGACCTGGAAATGCTGGCAGGCGCGGTACATGTCACTGGAGCTTCTAAATCGTGATAAAAGCTCGGATGTGCACGGCGCTTTCGGTCAGTCAAGGTGGCAACATATTCATTTCTGTCAATATTTTGACAGAAAGCCAAACTTTAACTCTCCTGGGAAGAAGCTGTCGTGCTGCGACACTCGAAGAGACCTAAACGGACTAGACGAAGCTATGCAGGAGCATATGTTCAGTTTTAAAATGCCTAGCAAATTACGGACCAGGCAATAAGTCCAGACGAAGCTATGCAGGAGCATATGTTCAGTCTTAAAATGCCTAGCAAATTACGGACCAGGCAATAAGTCCAGCAGCTATCCCAATCAATCGTCAGCTGTGGAAAGATCGGGTTCCAAAGGCCGGATCCCTTGTGAATCAAGTCACGAGAAGTGCAAGAATCCGACAACAGGCCGTGGGCCTATTTCTTCAGTGCCGACACTTCTATTCTATTCTAAAATCTTCAGGAACAACACAACCAAAATTAACACTAGAATCACAACTGAACACCAGCATCACAACTCGCAGCATCAATTCGTTTCCTAAAATGACTTATTTATGCAGGGCTTTGGGTAACTACAAACAAAGCGGTCACACGGAATAAAACAAAGGCCGATACATAATATAATTTCACTTGAATATGAGTGGACAAGAATCCCTGGAACCTCGTGATGAGTAAGCGCCGTAACTTGCTTTAAAAAATCGAGTATTTTGAATGGAACAATTTAAACGGCAAAGCTCGATTGTGTTTCTTCGTTGCAAGACTTAATTCCATCTTATAGCCTCTCTCTTGTGCAGCAAACAAATATTTCCATTAGTAATACAAGTGACCTGTGTACTAATGTTCGCCGAGGTAATGTATACCTGGCAAGGCCAATAGTTTACACTGTAAAACCCACATTTTTCGCGCCAAGAACAATAGTTAACAAAAAGATATCATGTTTTGGCGGCAAGCTAAATAGATTGAAAATAGATGCAATATTTTGTGCGACAAGGTCAATAGTTCACGCAGCGCATGTTTGGCTTGGTGTGGGTGTGTAAACAATAAAATGCATATCGCGGGATACGAAAATGCGCACATAACTGTATGACTATGTGACATGGAAGTTTGCACTTGAACGGTTGTCATTTGATGAACATTACCACTGTTCTCTCTCCCAATTTAAGGTTACTTATCACCCGATTATTGATTAAAGTGATGTCATACGCTGCACATATTTCAATCCACAACCAAACACAGTCAAGTCATCATTGAGCATCGTGCACTATTCATAAAGAGAGCAATAAATATGATACCATGCATTAAGACTGTCAATGTTCGCACTCGTTGTCGCGCTACAAGAAAAATTGAGCAGCAAGTTATTAAAAAAAGTGATTAAGAGACCAGCAACTGGGACGAGAGGTAAGGAGCGGCGTTGAGCGTCATCAGAGCACGTGTAGATTTAATGAAGAATAAATAAATTTTATGGAACAATAAATGCATGAATAACCATACATCACTCAGTGCTATAAGTTACACAAATCAATGAAATGAAACTAAAATGATGAAATGAAAAAAGTAAAATTATATAAAATAAGAAGCAGCAAATAAATAAAACAAGCCCTCACCAATAAAATCAAAGAAAAATATAACTCAGTATTCACTGCAGTGAGTGACAGAGAGCGCATTTTCTCGTCAACGAAAACTTGAGGTCAAGGACAGACGGACATGGCGAGCACAATAGTGCATTTTTTCTATAAATGAGAAAATGCGCTAAAAATGATCTGCAAACCAGGCCGGTGACGGTGAAACAATGACTAGAAAGTTTATTCATCATTGATTCTTCGTCACCTGCCTGGTGCCAGTCTTTATCTCGTACAAATCATAAAACTGAACTACGATCAGATTAGTACAACATTAAATAAAAGCATACCAAGGCGCAAAAAAGGCTTCATTAAAATAACACACTAATGCAAGTTGAATAATACCACAGTAATCTCATACAAAACGCATTGGTGAGAGAGCATTAGAATACATAATTGTATAATATCAGATGGAATAGTCAAGCCTCGACTTCATTCCCAATATAGTAGTCGCTAATGTAAATGTTGAGAAAGTCTACTCGTACAAAGTGCATTGGTGAGAGAACATTAGAATACATAATTGTATAATATCAGATGGAAAAGTCTAGACTGCATTCCCAATATAGTAGTCGCTAATATAATTGTTGAGAAAGTCTTCTCGTACAAAGTGCATTGGTGAGAGAGCATCAGAATACATAATTGTATAATATCAGATGGAATAGTCAAGTCATGAGTGCCTTTGCTAATATAAATGTTGAGCAAGTCTAGCAGCGTGTACAGTAACCACATTCAACATAATAGTACATCATGGCAAGCTGGAGCCTGCTTGATAATTGCATATGATTTATGTCGATGCTAGAACTGACAAGTTTAATATCTTCAAAAAACTACTTAATTTCGTAAATGCAAAAAGGAGTCATTATCAGATCAAGAAGTGAAATGACGTAGGTACCAGTAAATATTTTGTTTATACACCCAACAGCCTAGAGGCAATGGTAGCGATACCCCATAACAGTGGCTAACGAGATTTTTTAGGTAGACTTTACTTGGGCTGCTATGGAATTCACTGAAGTATTATATGCACAGAAAATAGCTTCAATTAGTTAAATGAAAATTAAAGAAATTGTAAATTGCTCTACTACTAGCGACAAAGCAGCTCAGCTAACAGGCTCTAACTTGTGACCAGATGTATCTGCTACCGAGGTTTTTTCATCGCGAGCAGAGAAACTTTTCCACAACTTATATTCACTAAAATGATCTGCTTTGGCCAAATGATAGGTAAGAATCAATACTGATCTACGTAACAAAAAAAGGTGTAGCACTTCTCAGATATTAGATAAAGCATGTAATTTTATCTGCCTAGATGAACAACAAGAATCGGTGTCACTACATTATAAGAATTATTCAACCAAACTTGCTATAGCAAATCTTTTATGACTAAATGGCAAGTATGAGGCAGGATTGATGCTGGAAATTTCCAGCAACTATAGGGCAAGTAGCACTCAAAATAAATATTATCTAATGGCATTCTTATTTGGCTGTATAGAGAGCTGGACTTTAGATCAGAGGTTCCCAAAACGGAGGTATCTTATTAGCAAAGCTACGATTTAAATTTACGAGGCAAAGAAGAGGAGACACATTTCTTCAGTGTTTAAATTGGTCATATAGATCTATATCTTAGCCATTTAAGATATCTAGGTAACATGCTTATGATGCATGTTACATGGCAAATTTGTTTAGGAACCACTGTTCTAAAGTAGAACTGCAGCAAGTTATAGCAGTAGTAATAAGCACTATGCTAGGTGGCTGTTGATCCATTCCTCATCAAGTTCCTCCAGTTCACGGATTTGAAAGACTTTGGTGAGCCCGCACTCAGCAATGAGGTGGTTGTAGCTTCCTGAGTACATCATCTGCAGCTTGGGCACACAATCTGAAAATGACAAGATTTTTTACACAAAAATTTAGCCAAATTTGGCTTTTATTTTCAATGGCAATTGATGAATGTCTATTTTTAGTGCATTTTCTCATTTTTGAAAAAATGCACGATTGTGCTCGCCATGTCCGTCTGTCCGTCCGTCCGTCCGTGACTTCACGTTTTTGTCGACGAGAAAATGCTCACTCACTGCAGTGAGTATTGAGTTATATTTTTCGAAATTATACATTAACTAGGAGCTGACGACAAGGGAATTTGAAACTACAAATAAGCAGAATGAATGAACTGCAAAGGAGATGGAAATTTTGGGCTCAGATTTGTATGAATTGTTCCAGACCTGCAAGACGTGTATGAATGTCAAGAAATCTGGCACAGTATTGCACCCCATGAATTTTCATTTTGGATGCTTGTTTGTTTATCAGGAGAAAAATCTATACATAAGCATGTATAAAAATAAGCATTGGTCAAGGGCATAACCAGCTGAGCAGTCAAGCTAACAAACATTCTTGTGGCAGGATAGGAAGCATCTGAAAGAAACATTTATATATCCACACATTTCAGCTTATTCTACTACTTAATTTTGCATATTAATCAGATTTTCATTATTAAATCTTTACGTCAGATTTATTAGGCAAGGATTACCCATCATAGAAAATTTGCCTATCATCTACCAATGAGTACTATTAATAGTTAACAAAACCCATTTAAAGTACCAGTACTACATAGTACGTACCAGTTGATGTTTTTGAATAGAAAATATTGTACAACACGGTTGTTTTTGCTGTGCATGAAGTGACAGGAATATTGAGGTTACAAAAGTTAGAAGAATATTACCTCTTGGTGTAGTGTATATAAAAGCCATTGGATAAGACACTCGGCCATCAGAGTGGTTGATGCGCCAAGACAGCAGGACAAATCGTGGCTGCGTGGCTGGGATGCTCTCACGCAGCTCATCCACATCAGCTATGTCGGACAACTCATCCTCTATTATCACACACTGCTTTGTGGGATCTACCTTCACTGTAAGGACATACTTGTTTAAGTTAAAAAACACAATAACTTGAGTTTGTAATAATAAATGTTAAGTTCTGAACATGAATTCCCCTCCAAAAACAATTCTCAATACAAGAACCTGTTTCAGATTGTCAAAATCTGAAATTATGAAACTTGTTACCTAATTAAGTAGTTTCTATTGTATACAAATTTGCATGGCAATTTGAGACCGTCAAAGATTAGAAGCAGTTAAGGAACAGAGAATTCAGTAAGGGAACAATGCAAAAATTAGGCAAATCCACTGAATAAAAAATTGTTCTAAATTGCTAGGTATTCATGAAAATTTTCTTCTATGACATGAAGTAACAACAAATTAAAATATCAACAGGGTAAGGAAAAACAAACACAAAAATAACAAGATGGTTTTAATCATCTCATCCATCCAGATGCAGATTTTGGGGGAACCTTCCCCAATTAAAATTTGTCTTGCTACTTAGTCCTGATGATTCAACAAGTAAACATTCATAGAACACGTACAAAAAATTCTTCTACATATTACAATATTTCAAGAACACAAGTTTACATATTTAATTCTTAAATTCAATCCCACTCAACACCCATAACTGGAAACCTTACAGAAGTCAACACCCAGGGATGATATCTCAATCCCCATGGCCATTACATTATTCCATTCATTGTAAATAATTTAAAGGTCATAATTTTCCCATAAATTTTTCAATATTACCAATGAACCATTATTGTCATTTGGAATTTATACTGAAATCAGGAATTGGGTGATTAATTGATGAAGTGTTACTAACTAGAATAGAATAATGCTGCAGGGTTCAGCAAACAACCAACTCTCAATATCCTGACATGTTATCCTCTTGGATGCATTAAAAACCTGCGGTTTTAGGTTTTAGAGACATAATTGAATGAGACTATCATCTCTATTTGTAACAAATTATTTACTGATAAGTGGTGAATGTACTGAAGATGAAATGCAATAAATGAACTAATTATCATTTCAAGATTACAATAGAGTCCAAAAAATAACCTACAAACCCACAGTGACACAAGTCAAGCAACAGTGCATGTATGGAGGGAGGGGGGAGGGAAGGGGTGGATCAGGGAATTACATGTCAGTTAAATTGCACATGAGCCTAGAAGAACCTCTTAGCAATAGCATCAATGAATTAGTTCCATATTTTGTCTACTGATATATAATTGATTGTTACATATTTATGCAGCCCTATCAGCTAAAGCCTAAAAATGTAGAAAAGCTTTTGAAAATACAATATCAAAGTAAAAATTACACTAGAATTATTTTTTTTTGCAATTTTAAATGGCTTTGTGCCACCTCTAAAAATTGTTTGGAAAATCCTTTGAAGGGCATTCATATGATTCATTAGGCAGGTGTCCAAATAAAAAATCATACTTGGATAATTAATACAACAAAATCTTGTTTTTTGATCCATCCTAAAATGCCATACTGGCAGTTGTGCCAGTATATATATTCTAAAGGATACTTGTATTGTATTGAAATTTGACAGTAAGTTCAATAAAATCTCATGATTTATAAAACCTCATGCTGCCATAATAGTATCATGAAATGGATTTAATATGAACCAGCCTCTGCCCTCTAGCCTCTTGCAAACTTGTACTGCCAACTAACAACAATCAACATGGTGCAATTTTATTGTTAATACTTGATAAAAAGGAACATGCCACATGGTATCATCACTACCATGTTGATATGATATCCGGAATTGTCAATTGGGAGTTAGGAAAATGTAGGCTATTTAAGTAGTACTTCAGTACTTTGCTATTAATTACAGATGAATCCCATATTTTGATATATCCTTAAGTTTTGAATGTTGTAACTTATTTGTGAATATAAGTTGAAAATTGTTTAGGAAATAAATTAATCTAGTGGCAGTGGGAATCTTACAGCTCTGAAGAAAAACACTCTTTGATATATTTCACATCTGATTCTGAACTTCTGACCAGTGTGCAGGAATGCAGGATAAATGCCAGCATTAAAATATTTTTTTGAAGAGTGGCAAGTTAGTTGCCATATTCATTGGCTGGTGATAACTTATAAGACAATTGTTACTTGTGTTCTTGATGGCACAGTTGGCACTCTTGAAAGATAAATCCTGAGTTAAATTAAAACAACCCTAGGCTTAGTAGGCTATGGGCATATAGCAGTATAGCCTAACTAAGCCTATTGATGTGCACAACTGCATTTGACTGATTAGTTAGTTTATTTAGTCATAGTCAAAGACTCAAACTCAAAGTCTCAAAGTTAGGTATAAACCGTGTATAGTGGCAAAGGAGAAGATTTTTTGTTAATTGCTGCCCTTCTTGAAGTCCATTTTTGAGTCCTATAAATAGAAATAGTAAGTATCTTGGATACCACTTACCAGAATTATCATAACCTAGTCCTACATCAGATGATCAGGAATTGTTTAAGAACTTTAAGTCACTGTCCACTGGAGACTGCACTGATTCACTGACAACTGGTGATTTACTGGTCACATACTCACATTAGCTACATATTTGCTATCAGGTAGTGAATACTGAATACAGAATATCAACCGCAACCAAATTATCAGCCACTCAACTTCTCAATTGCATCCATACTCCAGCAGTGACAGACTGACAGTGACCAGAATTGAATATATATATAATATAGATCTCATCATGATCTCTTACTCACATATTATGGCAGTGTTGTTGACATTGCGACGAAAACGAAACTTTTGCAGCTCATCCTTCACTTCAGGACTGATGGTGCATACTTCAAAAGACTGAAAAATATAATTAATGGTTTCAATACATGCATAATATATAATACAACCTATACAAGCTTACAGGCGTTGTTGACAGTAGGTAGATTATACTTATACAGTTATTATAGTAGTCACAGTGTCTTTCGTTCTTAGCTTTCCATTAATAATTCAAGTTTTAACCAAGATTATTCCCTAATTTAATATACATGCATACCATCGTGTGTTCTTAACTCCTTTGAGAGCGGACATCTACAATCTTGACCTTCAACCTATTTTTTGACGTATAGATCTTAGAATTGAATTGAGCGAGTGCGCATCTGTGGGCTTGATATTTTTCTCAGCAAGCTCCCAACAGCAGATAAGAAACGCTGGAGTACGAAAGGTTGACGCGTCTAAGACGAGATGCCAGGAGATCCACGTAAGTAGGAGCAGCGTTTGTACTCTACAAAAATTGTTATTTTGTTCAAGCATTATAAAATATATATTGTATGCTGCAGTTGTCGCACTATTGTGACCATATCGTCTCATGACCGCGATGACATCGTTGACGCTCCAGGAATGAACGCGTTCAGGAACAGACTAGATAAAGCTATGGAAAAATATATGTTCAGATTTGAAATGCCTAGCACCATGTCGAACGCGGTGGAAGTCGAGTAGCTATTTCAAACTTTCGTCAGTCGTGAAAAGATCCGATAAAATGACACGATTTTAGATCTTCTGTGAACAAGGCACGAAAAGGAAAAGAACCGGCGACAGGCCACATCAGGCCTACACTGCAGCGCCGAGATCACTATGTTATGTTATGTCATGTTATGACACTTGCTGTACACAAGTTAGTACGATATTCTGACACATCGTTTCAAGACACCTAATGTACAGCGACAAGCACGAAATTCCCACCATATAATCTCTCATGACACACATGCAGTCCACCGGTTAGCACGCTTTTCTGACCATGTTGTCTCATGACACACATGCTGTACACCGGATAGCACGCTATTCTGACCATGTCGTCCCATGACACACATGCTGCACACCAGTTAGCACGCTATTCTGACCATGTTGTCTCAAGACACACATGCCGTACACCGGATACCACGCTATTCTGACCATGTCGTCTCATGACACACATGCTGCACACCAGTTAGCACGCTATTCTGACCATGTTGTCTCAAGACACACATGCCGTACACCGGTTAGCACGCTATTCTGACCATGTCGTCTCATGACACACATGCTGCACACCAGTTAGCACGCTATTCTGACCATGTCGTCTCAAGACACACATGCCGTACACCGGTTAGCACGCTATTCTGACCATGTCGTCTCATGACACACATGCTGTACACCGGTTAGCACGCTATTCTGACCATGTCGTCCCATGACACACATGCTGCACACCAGTTAGCACGCTATTCTGACCATGTTGTCTCAAGACACACATGCCGTACACCGGATACCACGCTATTCTGACCATGTCGTCTCATGACACACATGCTGCACACCAGTTAGCACGCTATTCTGACCATGTTGTCTCAAGACACACATGCCGTACACCGGTTAGCACGCTATTCTGACCATGTCGTCTCATGACACACATGCTGCACACCAGTTAGCACGCTATTCTGACCATGTCGTCCCATGACACACATGCTACACACCGGTTAGCACGCTACGCTATTCTGAATTTTGAGGTCAGTTGGAGGCTGCGGTTGTGAACGCTGCTCGCGTCAGCGGTCGACCGTCCGCATGTGCCAGGTGATTCCAGTTCAGTGTACTTCCTGGTGTCGTGGTGTGTAGTGTGTTGCATTCGTTGCTGCTAGTAATGTGTTGCATTCGTTGCTGCTAGTAATGTGTTGCATTCGTTGCTGCTAGTAATGTGTTGCATCGTTGCTGCTATTAACAGAGGTGGGCAGTAGCGCGCTACATTTTCAGTAGCGGTAGTGGCGCTACATTTAAGCAGTTGTAGCGGTAGCGGTAGCGCCCACTACATATTTAAGTAGCGATACGAGGTTTTGCCGCTAAAGCGCTACCGCTACATTTATAGATAAAGCCTTAAGATTTTTACTTAATAGTATTAAATATTATTTAAAAACCAGCATGATACACACATAATATAAATTACAGAATAAAACTGTACGAAAGATTTCGGTGTAATGTTGTCAACCTCAGCCTGTTACTAGTCCTGACAAGTGTAGTAATGCGTTGTCCAGCAATACTCTTGTCCCGGCCAGGGACGGTGAGCAATCATAACATAACATAACATAATGATGTCGGCTCTGAAGTGAAGGCCTGATGAGGCCTGTCGCCGATTCTTTTCCATTTCGTGCCTTGTTCAGAGATCTAAACTCGTGTCATTTGACCGGATTTTTTCATGACTGGCGATAGTTTGAAGAAGCTACTAGACTTCCACCGGGTTCGATAAGGAGCTAGGCATTTCAAATCTGAACATATATTTTTCCATAGCTTTATCTAGTCTGTTCTTGAACGCGTTCATACTTGGAGCGCCAACGATGTCATCGGGGAGGCTGTTCCACATCAATATAGACGAGGCAGAAATAAGCATTAAAGGAAAGGCGGCGTACATGTTAGTAATGGCTCATTCATGATCGAACGTCGCTACGTTCACGTACACTTTCTAGTGAATGAAGACAACGCAACTTTCTTCATCTCCTTCTCTCCTGACGTCCTCGTCTCTTCCCTTCTCTCCTGACGTCCTCGTCTCTTCCCTTCTCTCGTGATGTCCTCGTCTCTTCCCTTCTCATCTGACGTCACCGTCTCTTCTCTTCTCTCCAGACGTCCTCGTCTCTTCCCTTCTCTCCCGATGTCCTCGTCTCTTCCCTTCTCTCCAGACGTCATCGTCTCTTCCCTTCTCTCCTGACGTCCTCGTTTCTTCCCTTCTCTCCTGACGTCCTCTTCTCTTCTTACTTGACATCAAACACTCGTGTTACCCTCACATCCTTTCCAGGAGTAACATTCGTGCTACTCTCACATCCTGTCCAGTAGTTACACGCGTGTTACCCTCACTTCCTAACCATAACGTAACATACGTTATTTTTAACTTAATAACATACGTTATTTTTCGTACGTACCCTATCAGTCTCACAGAAAAAGACAGATAAGTTTAGTTGACGCTAGATAAAGTCAGATAAGGGTAGTAAAGTGTAGCTAAGAGGAGATAAGATTTTCTAGAAATGCTCACAGAGCTGCGAGGGGCGGCGCCCTTGGAGCCAGCCTCAGCCTCCCTAACTCCTGCAGGAGGCTACGATCCCTTCGCCAACCTCGTGGCCGACCACAGCAGCGGCTCCTACACCCCCAGCAGGTAAGGGCTCATGCACCGTTAAGGGGGGAACCCTCACTATAGTGAGGGTATGTAAATAGACATAGTATGTGTATTTACCTTTACTATTTGTAAGGGATGATGCTGCTGTAAAGATTTGTAGAACTTGTAAACTACTGCAACTGTAAAGATTTGTAGAGCTTGTAAACTACTGCAACTGTAAAGATTTGTAGAGCTTGTAAACTACCGCAACTGTAAAGATTTGTAGAGCTTGTAAACTACTGCAACTGTAAAGATTTGTAGAGCTTGACGACTTTAAAGGATTTTTTAAGGTCCTGCATGGGCTTCTAAGGACGTGTAAGGGCTTGAATGGGAGAATATAAGGGTTTGCATGAGCTAATTTACCTAGCAAAAATGTATCGTTATTGTCGCATAATTACGACAATGTACTCGTAAATGATTGACAATAAATTTAGATAATTATCATAATTATGAGAGTTTTTCAAATTTATTTTATGCCGTTAAAACTTGTTGAATCTTGAACTTGTAGGAAATGGGCCGATTTGGTTAAGGCATGCGCTAGCTTTCCATGGCTTGCAGGCTTTGCAAAGTTCGCTAGTGTTTGTTGTAGGAAAGTTTAAAAAGGTTTTTAGGCTTGCAAACGCTTGTTTATAATTTGTTAGGTCGTTTATAGTTTTTTTAATTGACGTGTAGAGAGTTTTAATTTTCCAGGAACATGCAGGATTTATTGGGAAAAATTTTAGTTATCGAGAAGTTTTTCGTCTCAAGGGGGGACGGTGCGGTGGTCGAGGTGCTTATGGAGGGGACACGGACGCCCCCAGGCTGGGAACCTCCCCCAGGAGCGCTGGGGGAGCGTCCTGATCGCTCCACGTCCCCCACCACCCCCACCGCTATGGGTGCCATCACCCTCCTCGCCTTCCTCAACCTGCTGGGGTACATCCAGGTGAAAGTTTGTCCCTTCACGTATGAGACTTAATGAGACATAATGTACATTGTACTAAAATAATTCATATTGTTTTATTTACACATGGGGAGAGTGTGGGGAGGGTTTCATTTCCCCAGTTAGGGGGAATATACAAAGCCTTATCAGATTTTGGGTATATAGTTTTCATTGCTCTAATGGGATTGGGAGATGTGCCCTATGATTTGTTTGCACCGTAAAGTTTGGTGTGGTTACACCTGGAACTCAACACTGAATTGTAGGTGCGTAATATACGTAACTGCAAACCAAAATTGACCAGCAGTTATTTTAAGCCTTCACAGCCAACCGCTACTACCAGCAGTTACTGTAAGCCGTTACTGTAACCTGAGCCGTTACTGCCAACCGCTACTAACAGCAGTCACTTTAAGCCGTTACTGTCAATCGCTACTAACAGTAGTCACTTATTTAGGCCGTTACTGCCAACCGCTACTATACCAGCAGTCACTTTAAGCCGTTACTGTCAATCACTACTAACAGCAGTCACTTATTTAAGCCGTTACTGCCAACCGCTACTAACAGCAGTCACTTTAAGCCGTTACTGCCTATAAATCCTCTCTTCAGGTAGGTATAGCATTACATTGAGCAGGAAAAGCCGATTCCTTACAATTCACGTCCGCCTCAGAACGTCTTGACGAGCAACAACGGCCGACGTCGTCGCAGCGTGACGGATCCGACGTCACCGACGCAGCCCGACGTCAGCCTCGCTGCCGACGTCAGCACCGCTGCCGACGTCAGCACCGCTGCCGACGTCAGCACCGCTGCCGACGTCAGCCTGGTGTCGGTGAGTGAACCTCTCAGTTACACAACATATTTCACTCATCCCGGACGTTCCTCAAGCAGGTTATAAACGGAACTGTCGAATTGTCTTCTTAAAACCCTGATATATTTTTGGTCCTTGAGGATACTGACTTTACGACCTCCTATCATGCGACAGTAGTTGTTGTATTTTTATACAGTATACGGTATTATTATACAGGCAGTAGTTGTATTATACATGGGTTAAAAAGGTGATTGGTCACCGAGTATTCCACACCGGATTGAAGTGATACTTGTTTTATTCGTAAATGAATTTCATGCATGTTATGCTGAGGTAAAAACATATCGTGCGAGAAATTCAGTTTTGTACTAAGTGATGATCATATATAGCATCTAAGAAGGAAAAGATTAAATAATATTAATGAGATTATTGAGAAAAGTTAAGATAGGATTATAGTTACTTGGAAATGAGATGTGATAAGACGTCATAAGATAAAATACGGTAAAACATGATATAAGAAGATTAATATGAATAAACAATGTGAAATAAGATGAAATAAGATTTCATAAGATGGTTAGATTAAATATGTTAAAATGGGATTAATGAGATATAATAGGTTAAAATAACTCTAACTCACGCTGATGGTGTAGTGGACACCAAATATATACTGTTGTAAAACTTTATTTGTTTGTATTTTGGGATTTTATAGAGTCTAATTTATGTAAGATATTTTGGTAGTCCAATACTTATTTGAGAGCTCTAAATATTCGAGCGCAACGATTTTTCGTAGCTAGTTTACCGCCATAGCTCTTCTTACTATTCGAAATAGATTTTCACGATGGCAAAATCTACGATTGAAAGCGACAATAACGAATTCGATGGTCAACTTATGGCGAGCTTGAAGATTTATGTGAAATAACGAAAATAATCAGTTTTAATCAGTTTTGTTACTCTGATGACTAAATAATTATGATATTGAGATCTTTTAGAGTCAGGATCAAAGCAGACGAGTTTAACTTGCTGCCAACACCGGGATTGTGATCTGAGGATGGTTAGATCCTGCAGAACATTTCAAGATTCAGTAAATATCAAATTAGCATTTAGCAGTAGCAAAGCGGTGCCTTCTACTTGGCACGTTAGCGTAAGTTAGAGCGGTGCTATCTACTTAGCGCTTACAATAGCCGGCACTATTTAATTGTCGGTAGCAAAATCCATCGCTATCTAGTTATGAGTAGCAAAAAAATTTAGCAATAGCACGATGCGGAGATATTGAGATAACAGAATGTTCGGCCCTTCCTCCTGTCTGACAGCAGAAGATAATTCTATTGAAGTTAGCGCTCAAAAACAGTTTTTTAAGAATTACCCCTGTAGAAAACGAAAAAGTTATATTTTATTACCATGACTAAAATTTTTAGAGTTATTTTCAGTGAAATGGAAAATTTTTTACTCCAAGTACACAATTTTGCCTGTGAGAATAATTTTGTTAAATTGCATTTTATAAAACAAAAGGAACAGATTTAGACTAACGAACAGAGTTTTTTTTACCGCAGTATGGGCCGAAACCCATATTAGGCTTAGCTTTACAAACAACATGAAGAATGTTAAATGTTCGGAAATATTTTAACATATAATTTAATAAATATAAGTACAATCAGAGGCGGCAATAGGTTTTAACGGCAGGGGGCTATGCCCGCTAAGATTTAAAATCCTATTCAAGTTGATACTGACTGGTTGTAAGATTATATATTTAAACTCCAGGTCACATTATTCAGAATTTGTTTGCAGTTTGTGCAAAAACAATCAATAATAATTCTGATGAATGAGCATTGTATTTTTGGAAGCTTAAGAATATATTGGAAGGTCTGAAGCTCCTTCTTTAATGTTTCATGTTGTTCTGGTATATCCAAATTTTGTATATCTTAGTTAGTTTAGTTAGTATTTAGTATATATAGTAGCTACTTCCTTCAACTGACTATTTTGGAGCAGTGGGTAAAAACTTTGCTGGCAATTATCCATGACCACAAACTGTAATAAAATTAAATGTAATAATTATTTTTAATTAAACTATATAAATCCACATCATGTGTGATTGAAATCAAGCCCACTTCCTCTAGCAGGACGGGAAAGGGGGGCTACGGGCCGCAGACCCCTACTCATCACATTCAGACCTCTACTCATCTCAATCAAATTCTATACACTCTAATCCAATAGACACTGACACTTACGCTACAGAACATAGACAACCACAACCTCGGTCTGTAGACCCTAATTTGACAGACCAACATGGTTCTGCAGCCCCAGGTTTACAACAACCCCTACAACCCCTGCCCAGGGGGCGCTTGGGGTTCGACGCCCCCTTCACAGCGCTGGCATACGACCTCATTGACTACATTATTGGAGATACCAAGGTAATCATAACTGTTACTCACTGGTAACTCTGTATTGGCGATAAATTTTACTGCCTGGTAACTCTGTATTGTCTGTAACAGTTGCTGCCCAGTAACTATGTATTGTCTGTAACTGTTGCTGCACGGTAACTCTGTATTGTCTGTAACAGTTGCTGCCCAGTAACTATGTAATGTCTGTAACATTTGCTGCCCAGTAACTCTGTTTTGTCTGTAACAGTTGCTGCCCAGTAACTATGTATTGTCTGCAACAGTTGCTGCCCAGTAACTCTGTATCCTATAACTGTTGCTGCCCGGTAACTCTGTATTGACGATAACAATTGCTGCCCAGTAACTCTGTATTGTCGGTAACAGTTGCTTCCCAGTAACTCTGTATCCTATAACTGTTGCTGCCCGGTAACTCTGTATTGACGATAACAATTGCTGCCCAGTAACTCTGTATTGTCTGTAACAGTTGCTGCCCAGTAACTATGTATTGTCTGTAACTGTTGCTCGGTAACTCTGTATTGTCGGTAACTGTTGCTGCCCAGTAACTCTGTATTGTCTGTAACAGTTGCTGCCCAGTAACTATGTATTGTCGGTAACTGTTGCTGCCCGGTAACTACGTATTGTTGGTAACAGTTGCTGCCCAGTAACTCTGTATATTGTCTGCAACAGTTGCTGCCCAGTAACTCTGTATCGTCTATAACTGTTGCTGCTCGGTAACTCTGTATATCGGCGATAACTGTTGCTCTCCAGTATCTACGTATTGTCGGTAATAGTTGCTGCCCAGTACCTATGTATTGTTTGTAACAGTTGTTCGCCCAGTAACTACATACGTATGTAGTGTACTTAACTATTGCTCTCCAGTAACTCTGGACTTTAGGTAATCTTGACCTCCCTTAATTACGTTTACTCATTGGTTTTCATCAATTATCTCAGTTTTACTCAACTTATCAACAGCCTCCTAGGCCACAACTGCGTCAGGAGCACCGTTCCTGGTGGCCGTGGTCATCCACCACCAAAACCAGCACTGACCCCGCCCTCAGTCAGGACCCTCCGTCTTCTAGGAGGTCCTCATCCTCCCCAACACGAGGGGACAAAACCTCACCCGCAGTACGGAGGGGCTCCATGCCCCCAGTCCCACCCAGAAGGGGCGTGGGCAGCTTCATGCAGTCCCTCCAGCAGCAGGTGCGGCGGGCGGCGTCCGTGATGGGCTTCCTCCACGATCCTTCGCCTCTGCGCGTGCGTCGACATGCGGTAAGATGGCTCTTAAGGCGAATAAATATTTAATCTTGATTAAATTTATTTGAAATCTTGATCTCTATGTTAATTTATTTTATATAAATCGATTGTCTCCTGCTGATATACTCCTTGTAAGATTGTAGTTACTGTGGAACGGGTCATCTGCCTGGAACCTGTTCGGTTCCTGTTGTAGGATTTTTATAGGATGTCATCACGTTGTTGTAATTACATTGTGAAGACATTGTAGCGATATTGTGATGATATTATTGTGATAATGTGATAACATTGTAGTGATATTGTGATGACATTATAGCAATATTGTGATGAGATTATTGCGATATTGTGATGTCATTATAGCGGTATCGTGATGATATTACATTGATATTGTGATGACATTATAGCGATATTGTGATGACATTACATTGATATTGTGATGACATTATAGCGATATTTTGATGATATTACATTGATATTGTGATGACATTGTAGCGATATTGTGATGACATTATAGCGATATTGTGATGACATTATAGCGATATTGTGATGACATTATAGCGATATAGTGATGACATTATAGCGATATTGTGATGACATAGTGATGATACAGTGATGTTAGTAGTTAATACCTCTGGCCCACAGCCGGTGCAGCGCAGACGCCGGCGCTACACGGCCGGCATGAACGCCTGGTACGACGAACTGGCGGGGCAGAACTACGGCAGTGAGCCGCCGGCAGATGGTCTCTTCAGCCGGGTACGATGGAGGGTGATGGGGGGGGGGGTGATGGGGAAGTAATAATGGGGCAATGATGGGAGTGAATGGTGGATGAATATGGGGTGATGGGAGGGTTATTGTTGGGGTGATGGGGGGGTTATGGGGAAGCAATTAATAGTGGGACATTAGTGGGGGTGAATGGTGGGTGAAAATGGGTGATAGAAGGGTGATGGGAGGGTTATTGTCGGGGTGATGGAGGGATTGGGCATGTAATAGTGGGGCATTAGTAACGGGTGAATGGTGGGTGAATATGGGGTGATAGGGGGGTAATGGGAGGGTTATTGTTGGGGTGATGGGGGGGTTTATGGGGAAGTAATAGGAGGGCATTAGTGGGGGTGAATGGTGGGTGAAAATGGGGTGATAGGGGGGTGATGGGAGGGTGATAGCGGAAAAGATGGGCGGTCGATGAAAGGGTGATAATGGGGCGATAGTGGGGTGATGGTGGGGTGATGGTTGGGGTGTCCGGAGGGTGATAGAGAGGCGAAGGTAGGGGTGACGGGGGGTGATGGACAGGTGATAGTGAGTAGATACTGTGGTTATAGTGGCTATGATAGGAAGGTGATAGTGGGGTGATTTGTTGGCGTTGTGCTGATAGTGTGGAGAAGTTAAGTTGTTGTTTGGTTATGAAAATGCATATCTTGTTGATAAATTTATGATATGGTGTCACGTTGCGCTAATTGTGTCTAAGTTAACGGATTTTCATCAATTATAAATGCCTCCAGGTATTATGAAAATGAATGCTCTTGTTAAGCAAATGCATGCCCGTATTATACAAATGTATGCCCTTATTATGAAAATGCATGCCCATACTATATAAATGTATGCCCTTAATTTTAAAATGCCTGCCCGCATTATACAAATGTATGCCTTCACTATGAAAAGGCATGCCTGTATCATACAAATGCCAGCCCTTATTATACAAATGTATAATAAGGGCTGCCCTTTTTTAATAAGGGCTGCTCCTGTATAATGCCCTTTTGCAGTTGCTGTTGGGGTTCGGTCGCCACATCCTGGGGGTGAGATCCCCCCAGCGCTAGAAGGCTCCCCTCGGGCACTCCCTCGGATGAGGGCCAGCCGCCGAGGGTAGAAGGATGCCTAAGGCTGAGGCTATCAACAAAAATGACTTTCAGCTCAGGAGGAAAATGTTCCTGTTTTTTTTTGCAGGATAATTATTGGAAATACTTGATTGCTCATTTATGATAAAATGTTATAGTCGTTGTTGAGGCTCGTGTTGTTATTGTTTTTACCGTTAAAGTTGTTATTATGTTTTTTAATTAGCACTTAAAAAGAAAATATCGTCCAGAGACCACGGGCTATGTTATATATGTTATGTTTCTATATGTTATGTTTTCTCACAACGGGCTATGTTATCGAAGCTGGTTGTAAGTTATACGCTGGTCGTAAGTTATGCACTGGTCGTAGGTTATGCGCTGGTCGTAAGTTATGCGCTGGTCGTAAGTTATGCTCTGGTCGTAAGTTATGCACTGGTCGTAAGTTATGCACTGGTCGTAAGTTATGCACTGGTCGTAAGTTATGCGCTGGTCGTAAGTTATGCACTGGTCGTAAGTTATGCACTGGTCGTAAGTTATGCACTGGTCGTAAGTTATGCGCTGGTCGTAAGTTATGCGCTGGTCGTAAGTTATACGCTGGTCGTAAGTTATGCGCTGGTTGTAAGTTATGCGCTGGTCGTAAGTTATACGCTGGTCGTAAGTGAAGCACTGGTCGTAAGTTATGCACTGGTCGTAAGTTATGCGCTGGTCGTAAGTTATGCGCTGGTCGTAAGTTATGCACTGGGCGTAAGTTATGCGCGGGTCGTAAGTTATTTACCAATCGTAAGTTATGCGCTGGTCGTAAATTATGTGCTGGTCGTAAGTAATGAGCTGGTCGTAAGTTACACGCTGGTCGTAAGTTATGCACTGGTCGTAAGTTATGCACTGGTCGTAAGTTATGCACTGGTCGTAAGTTACGCGCTGGTCGTAAGTTATGCACTGGTCGTAAGTTATGTGCTGGTCGTAAGTTATGTGCACATCAATAACGGATGTTTTGCTCATAATCGGCAGATGAATATACGATGTTGTAGAAATGTTTATTTACGATCTCGTAGGTGTTGTTTCTCTACGATGTCACAAGAATTGGCCAAATTACTTGAATCTTTTGTAATCGGGATTTTACAGTCGTGTCAAAATTCCATAAAGAATCCATTAATAAATCACTGTAATGAAATATCTGACCGTCCGTTACATTGCTAGAGGCTAATGTGGCACTAGAGTTACGAGCATCGTAAGACTTACGACCTACTAGAGTTGCGAACATCGTAAGACTTACGACCGAGTAGAGTTGCGAGCATCGTAATACTTACGACCGACTAGAGTTGGGAGCATCGTAAGTAAGACTTACGACCGACTAGAGTTACGAGCATCGTAAGACTTACGACCGACTAGAGTTACAAGCATCGTAAGACTTACGACCGACTAGAGTTACAAGCATCGTAAGACTTACGACCAACTAGAGTTGCGAGCGTCGTAAGACTTACGACCGACTAGAGTTGCGCGCATCTTAAGACTTACGACCTACTAGAGTTGCGCGTAGTTACGAGCATCGTAAGACTTACGACCGACTAGAGTTACGAGTATCGTAAGACTTACGACCGACTAGAGTTACGAGCATCGTAAGACTTACGACTAACTAGAGTTTCGCGCATCGTAAGACAAACAACCTACTAGAATTGCGCGCATCGTAAGAATTACGACCGACTAGAGTTACGAGCATCGTAAGACTTACGACATACTAGAGTTGCGAGCATCGTAAGACTTATGACTGACCGACTAAAGTTACGAGCATCGTAAGACTTACGACCGATTAGTGTTATGAGCATCGTAAGACTTACGACCTACTAGAGTTACGAGCATCGTAAGACTTACGACCGATTTGAGCTATGTGCATCGTAAGGCTTAACGACCGCCGTACGAATGCCCTTAACTACCAAACCTATTTAGGCATTAATTACGCACTAAATAATATTAATTGTTATACTGACTTGAGTTTATTGATTTATGATTAAATAAAATAATAATACCCAAAAATTTGTCTTTTGTCTGAAGTCTCGGAGCGAGTGTCGCTTATTTCTGCGACCAAGGCTTCTGTGTCACAAGGAAAATAATTTTACTTTGTTTCTTTAAAGAAATAAGTATTACTTAGTATCTACAGTGATAAATAATGTTGTGATTTATTTCAATTAATGAAATATTCAAATTTGAAACTTATACATAATGACTTTAATTGAACTCCTAATAAATCAAATATTACATTAATAATCCTTGAGATTAATTATATTCTAGACTGACACTACACATTTGCTACAAAATGTTGAACATGAAAAAACATTTTGATTGCGGCATTCATTTTGGTAACATACCTGTCTCAGCCATGTTGTCAATATGAATGACTAAGTCATGAATGACTTAGTCATTTCAGCAAGATAGATTGCCTGCTCTCTTCACTGCCGGTTTCCGTGCTGCATATGAAAATTCACAGTAAGAAATTTCGACGATAATTAACTAATATAAAATAAGTTGTAAGGGATAGAAATCATTTCTAGATAATTATCGAAGTAATAATATAATATAAGACGATGATGTTTAATGTCATGGAGTCGCCTGATGTCTGACAATCTTCTGTCAACACGACTGATTCATTCACCAATGACCGTTTTAATTTTTAAAATTCTCTTCTATCTTCTGCAACCGACACTAGAACTTCAGACTGAATGGAACGAGCAATTGAGAGACAAAAAACAATAAAAGACAAAAAATACTGCCGGATATAAGATATCCGGCAGTATTTAGATATATGGATATCAATATAAAGTATAGATATAGATATATATAGATATCAATATAAAGAATAAAGAATATATAGATAGATATCATTATACATATATATATATATATATATATATATATATATATATATCATATGTAAGGCAATATTTGTTCAAGTTAAGAAAAGGTACACTTAAGTTAAGAAAAGGTAAGAAAAGTTAAGAAAAGAAAAAAATACGCTAGTATCGATCGCTCGGCTAATGCTCATATAGACCTACAAGCCAATAAATTTAATAGCCAATATACGCCTAATGGCCAACAGACCATCCGACCAATACAACTACTAACCGATATTCTTTTCGGCCAACACTTCTACCAGCCAATACGCGTACTGCCAGGCCATACTTTCAAAACTCGCTAAGTGAACGTAAGTACTTACGCTCTATTTTCTTGTTTATGATTGGTGGATTTTGCTTGAAAGGAAGTCAATGATTGGCTGATGAACTTACGATCTCTTAACTTTTTTGAAAGTATAGGCCGGCCGATACACCTACCGGCCAATGAGCCTAAAGAATGCATCGATATTTGTAAAAATTCTCACTGATTTTTCTGAGTGTACCCATCACTATATAAGCATACATTACATAAAGGTACATTATTATTACACACCACATCTATTAATTACGCAAGCTTTGTACTTGCATAAGCTGAAGCAAAATTGAAAGTCAATCATGTATGAAGTCAAAAATCTCATGTGTGATAATAATCTCAAGACAAAATTTACTTTGTTTGAAAATCTAAGCAAGTGATGCATGTCTGGATTACATGTGGAACACAAATGGTGATGAAGAAATGAAGAACAAAAAATTGTTTCACGGGACAGCGGTACAGGTGGTTTAGGCCACGATTTCGGGTGGCAAAGGCCAACTATTAATGTGTTTAAGGCCTAAATTTCATATGCTCGAGGCCTACATTTCAGATGGTAACGTCCCACATAGATGGTAAAGGCCTACTTTGCAGATGGTAAAGGCCTACATTTCTAATGGTAAAGTGTAAAGGCCTACATTTCAAATGGTAAAGGCCTACATTTCAGATTGTAAAGGCCTAAATTACATGTGGCGTGGCTTTAAAAAAAAATCTCGTCAAGATAAGAAGGCTGGCTGAGTGAGGGCCAGTCGACGGGCCGCCGTCGAGCAGGAAGGTTGGGGGTGTCAGCGCTCTGTGAAAACCTGAAAAATTCCGAGTTTCTTTAAACTAGCACCTTAATGAGAGTGAAATACAAGTTCATCTGTATTGTTAATCTCAGCGTATTTCATATGAGCTAATAAGGAGACGGTGTCGTGTGCCAAACTCTGATCAATTGGAGCAAGATAAAATGGAAGGTAAAATACTATTAAACATCTGTATTTTTTAAACTCATAAGCTAATTGCGGTTGTAATTGAACAAGAACATCTAACAGCGCAAGCTTTTTATCCAGCGAATAAACTTCATTGCTATTTAGGAACGAATTAAGAATAGTTAATTAATCAGCTATAATAAATAATTCGAAACAAATAATATGAATATAGAAATACATCAAAGTGAAATTGACACTGAAATATTGATTCAAATGCGATAATATTAAGAATTTTTATTTTGAAACGAATGGTACCCTTGAAACTAATAGTTCTGCGATGGCAGACATTTCAGACCTGCAGAAGTCAGAGGGTCTAAAGAAGTATCTGCTGAAGGAGGAAGGCCCTAAGAAGGACCTGCTGAAGGACCTGCAGAAGGAGGAAGGCCATAAGAAAGACCTGCTGAAGGACCTGCAGAAGGAGGAAGGCCATAGGAAGGCCCTAAGAAGGACCTGCCCACCCAGGATCTGCAGGAGCATCATGTGACCTCCCGCAGAGGGTGGCAGTTGGCGCAGGGGGTCGACCTCCTGACGCGGTACCTCAGCACCTGCATGAGCGACCCTTACGACCCCATCACCAACCCCACGGTGAGGGGGGGGGCAGTCCCACGGTGAGGGGGGAGGGAGGAGAGGGCAGTACCACGGTGAGGAGGGGCAATCCCACGGTGAGGGGGGAGGGCAGTCCCACGGTGAGGGGGAGGGGGGGCAGTCCCACGGTGAGGGGAGGGCAGCCCAATGGTGGGTTATAGTGCGGTGGGGGGAGGGGGCAGCCCCACGGTGGGTTGCACCTCCCCATATTACAGGGCAAAAACAGTTATAGTTTAAAAAATATATATAACTCAGTACTCACTGCAGTGAGTGACACAGAGCGCATTTTCACGTCGACGAAAACGTGAAGTCACGGACGATGACAGACAGACGGACATGACGAGCACAATAGGGCATTTTTTTCCATAAATGAGAAAATGCGCTAAAAATGTGCTGAAAATATACTTTTGGGACACCCGCCTCCCTAATTTGAACCAAAAATATAAAGATTATAGCAATTAGTTGCCATCACTGCCTTGGTGTTACCATATCTAAGTGGTGATAGATACGTTATCTCATCACTGTGATGACAACAGCATCTCGTTCGAGTGATGCATGATTGTGATGCGCAGTTCAGAGTTGTGATGACAAGACCTCGTCATCACCTAACAGATAACCCTTTCAGAAGCTGCCTGTTATATGGTGTAATATACACCATATACGAGGTAATATATATCATATTGCAGCCATACAACTGGTCTTGGTCAATCTTATCAAAGAGAACTGAAGTTTAAGGCAGGATTAAGGATGGCCACCGATGTGACTGCCATGAATTTCACTATGGGATTGTGTCCTTGACGATGTGGTTGAAGATCAATGCATTAAGCTGATAAAAAAGATATTTACTGACTGGGAAAATGACGGGCAAAAATACCTGAGAGATGAACGCCATGATTGTTTAGTACCTACATTAATAGAATAACTTATTAATGCAATATTAAAAGAAATACGAATTAATGCTTTACCAGCAATGTTTCATGAATGATGATGTTTTTATTGATAAAACTTCAGCTACGTAACGGTATTTATCTAATTGATGGATCGATTAGGGAATGTTAGATAATAAAGTACCTGACACAATGCCAGTAAATGCAAGCGAACTTGTAAATCAATTGAAAAAAGCTGGCGCATTTGCATAATATATTTGAAAAATTAGGAACTTTATTAAAATTATAGCTGCTGGTCTGTAATGACAGTAAAATTTGTCCGCTATTCTATAATTATTAAATTCCTGTTCCGGCAAAAACAAGGAATATGGAAACAATTACATATAAAGGAAAAGAGGGTCCTTAATTCGAAGGATACGTATAGGTTCTTTATAAAATGGATTAATAGTTTCTTTATTCGAAGGATGTATGCATTATTGATACGAAAGATACGAAATTTTGAAGGATACCTATATTTTTTGTATGATGAATTAGTAGGTTTTTTATATGACGGATATGTAGTTTCTTGATACAAAAGATACGAAATTTCTATCAACAAAGATACGTAGGTTCTTAATAAGAAGGATGTGTTGGTTGTTAATTCGAAAAATATGTAGATTCTTGATACAAAAGATACGAAATTTCTCTCAACAATGGATACGTAGGTTCTTGATAAGAAGGATACGAAAGATATGAAAGTTCTATCAACAAAGATACGTAGGTTCTTGATAAGAAGGATGTGTTGGTTTTTAAATCGACCGATATGAAGGTTCTTGACTCGAGGAATAAGTAGGTTCCTGATATGACGGATACGAATGTTCTCGCAACAAAGGATATATGTATGTTCTTTACGTGATGAACATGCAGGTTTTTGATGCGAAGGATTGCTTTCAATGGAATAAGGGAAGCGGGACAGTAGTGAGAGACTGTATAGCTTCCACCCATGCAGTGACCAGGAAGTTTGAGTCCTACACAGTACAAGTTATTTTGGGAGTTAATAATTAATTAAACAAGTAATCATTTCCTCGTACAATTTTGGCTGATGAATGGGTACTCGACTTGACCTGAGTGTTGTATAATGTATTATAATGGTTCCGGTGGCTCGGCGACAAAGTGGACGTGGAACTACCTTAAAAAAATATATCAGTACTCACTGCAATGAGTGACAGAGAGCACGGACACCCGGCAACGTGAAGTCACAGACAGACGGACGGACGGACGGACGGACGGACGGACGGATGGATGGACAGACGGACGGACATGACGAGCACAATAGCGAATTTTTTCGTAAATTAGAAAATGCGCTAAAAAATATCTAAAAAATTAAAATCAACGACCACCCACTCCCTTCCCAAGTTGCTGCTACCTACGGGCAATACACTCGCAGGGATAACTTTTAGAAGTGAAAGCAAAATTTGCACGTACTGCTTAAAATGAAGCACTGAAATAAAGGGAGTCCGAAAAGGAGAAAAAGAAGTTATTCGTAAAATTAATACAATTGTCCCCGTCACAAATCCATGTACCAATATAAAAAAATAATAGTTTTCTTTTACCGCGTGCAAACAGATCTAACAAATATACTGACAACCCTATTAAAAAAATATGTAAAGCTTTTAGAAATAATATAAATATAAATTTTTTATCGTGTGTAAACAGATCTAACAAATATTCTTACACATTTCTTAAAAAAATATAGAAGCTTTTAGAAATATATAAATGTAAATTTTTCTAATCCGGTTCAGGGTATGGTATCTGAACCACTTCTTAATAAATAATACATGAATATTTTAGAAATATATAAATGTAAAATTTTTTATCTTGTACAGGGTATGGTGAACATAGGTACAGCAGTCAACAGCCTTCTTAATAAATAATACACTAAGATTTTAGAAATAAATAAGTGTAAAATTTTCTAATCTGGCACAGGGTTCTGTGACACTTTTTAATAAATAATACATGAATATTTTAGAAATATAAAAATGTAAAATTTTCTAATCTTTTACAGGGTATGGTGAACATAGGTACAGCAGTCAACTGCCTTATTGAAAAACTTTTAAAAATAATATAAATATTCAATTTCCTAATTTGATACAGGGTATGGTGAACATAGGGACAGCAGTGAACTGCCTGATGGGGGAGGAGCTGGAGCGTCGTCTCAACGCCCCCGACATGTTCGTGTACAGGACAGAGAGCCACCAGCACTACTATGACTTCACGGGCACCCCGCCCCTACGACGCGCCCTGAGCACCTTCCTCTCCAGGCACTTCGCCCGCGGCAGACCTGTGCCCCCTGAACAGGTGATGAGGGTGATGACGGTACGTGTACATAAGGGGGGGTGATGACTGTACATGGGGGGATGATTGTGCATGTACATGGGGGTGATGACTGTAGATGGAGGTGATGATTGTGCGTATACATAAGGGGGTGATGACTGTAAAGGAGGGTGATAATTGCGCGTGTACGTAAGGGGGTGATGACTGTACGTGGGGTTGATGGTTGTGGGGTGATGACTGTACATGTATGACGTAGCCGTGTCGTGCAGCTGGTGGTGATGACTGTAGATGTATGACGTAGCCGTACCGTGCAGCTGGTGGTGATGACTGTACATGTATGACGTAGCCGTACCGCGCAGCTGGTGGTGATGACTGTACGTGGGGTTGATGGTTGTGGGGTGATGACTGTACATGTATGACGTAGCCGTACCGTGCAGCTGGTGGAGATGACTGTACATGTATGACGTAGCCGTACCGTGCAGCTGGTGGTGATGACTGTACATGTATGACGTAGACGTACCGTGCAGCTGGTGGTGATGACTGTACATGTATGACGTAGCCGTACCGTGCAGCNGCAACCCCTACACCTGCTGCCGGGGGTGAGGGGGACGGACTATAGGACATGCAACCCCTACACCTGCTGCCGGGGGTGAGGGGGACGGACTATAGGACATGCAACCCCTACACCTGCTGCCGGGGGTGAGGGGGACGGACTATAGGACATGCAACCCCTACACCTGCTGCCGGGGGTGAGGGGGACGGACTATAGGACATGCAACCCCTACACCTGCTGCCGGGGGTGAGGGGGACGGACTATAGGACATGCAACCCCTACACCTGCTGCCGGGGGTGAGGGGGACGGACTATAGGACATGCAACCCCTACACCTGCTGCCGGGGGTGAGGGGGACGGACTATAGGACATGCAACCCCTACACCTGCTGCCGGGGGTGAGGGGGACGGACTATAGGACATGCAACCCCTACACCTGCTGCCGGGGGTGAGGGGGACGGACTATAGGACATGCAACCCCTACACCTGCTGCCGGGGGTGAGGGGGACGGACTATAGGGCATTCAACCCCTACACCTGCTGCCGGGGGTGAGGGGGCGGGGGAGTACTATTACAGCTCATTTAATAGCATGGAGGAGGCCAACATGTACTTAGGAGGCCTCAGTACATTTTGCTTCCTAAGTGCACGTAGCGGTCCAAGTACACGTAGCGGGTACACGTAGCACACTATATGTACATGTTGCCTCCTATGTACACGTAGCGGCCAACATCTCCTCTGCAATGGATGGGTTTAGTTCAAAGACCGTCAGCCACTATTCGCTGACGCCTACAGGGGCGGGACCTGACGCATATGAGACGAAACAAGTCATTTAATAGTCTCATAAATTCAGCCTAATTTCTATCGTTTAATTGACTATGAATTAACTTAATATTCAATACTCACTCTCGCAAACTCCCTTAACCCTCTATCGCCTGACATGAGTAACCGGAGCAATATTGTCTCAAGCCTACTTCTCAAAAAGGATACGTTCTAGTGAGCGCAAAATGACTTTCGCTGATGGTTGCCGCCACGTACGACAACTTTAAAATGTTCTCTGTTGTGTACAAACTTCCTCAGGTTGCTACACTCAATAGTTTGCGTATAATTTGCCGCCACGTACGACAACTTTAAAATGTTCTCTGTTGCGTACAAACGTCCTTAGGTTGCTACACTCAATAGTTTGCGTATAATTTGCCGCCACGTACGACAACTTTAAAATGTTCTCTGTTGTGTACAAACGTCCTCAGGTTGCTACACTCAATAGTTTACGTATAATTTGCCGGCACGTACAACTTTAAAATGTTCTCTGTTGCGTACAAATGTCCTCAGGTTGCTAAACCTAAAAGTTTACGTATAATTTAAGCTGAAAGTTTTGTTCCGGAGAGTGACATGGGGCGCTAGAGGGTTAAAGGATTACTGTGGGTTTACGAAAGACGTTTTAATTATTGAAGTAGGTGTATCCGAGCTTAATGATGATCAATGATCTACCAAATAAATTTTATATATTTCCTACGCATGCAATGATTATTTACTACGTACTTATTTACTATGAATTTGTTGACTATAATTTATGACTACAGGAGACCTTAGGCGGCCCCGACGACTTCAGGCTGACGCCGGCGCTGCTGGAGCGCCGGCTGCAGCAGCTGCGGGATGAGGGGGCGAGGGTGGGGCTGGTGGTGCTGGTCAACCCCCACAACCCCCTGGGGGACGTGTACTCCCCCCACCTCGTCCTGAACCTGCTACGGGTGTGCGCCAGGTTCGGGAATAATTTACGGTGACCGTAACTTACGATATATTACGATTCACCGTAGCTTATGATATGACCGTGACTTACGGTATTTTACGGTGACCGTAGCTTACGATGAATATATAATGGTAACCGTGACTTACGATATATAATGGTAAACGTAACTTACGATATAGTACGGTGACGGTAGCTTACGATATATTACGGTGACCGTAGCTTACGATGTATTACAGTGACGGTAGCTTACGATGTATTACGATGACCGTAACTTACGACATATTACGGTGACCGAAGCTTACGATATATTACGGTGACCGAAGCTTACGATGTATTACGGTGACCGTAACTTGCGATATATTACGGTTATCGACTTACGATATATTACGGTGACCGTAACTTACGATATATTACGGTGATCGTAACTTACAATGTATTACGGTGACTGTAAATTACAATATATTACGGTGACCTTAACGTACGATATATTATAGTGACCGTGACTAACGATATTTTACGGTGACCGTAACTTACGATATGTTACGGTGACCGTAACTTACGATATATTACGGTGACCGTAACATACGATGTATTAAAGTGACCATAACTTACGATATATTACGGTGACCGTAACTTACGACGTATTACGGTGACCGTAACTTACGATATATAACGGTGACCGTAACTTACAATATTACGGTGAGTCGGTGACCGTATCTTGACTTCAGGAACTTATGATATATTACGGTGACCGAAATTTGCGATATGTTACGGTGACCGTATTTGCGATACATTTATTTAATTTGATAAATATTTTTCAATATTTAGTTATTTAATTTTTATCAAAAATAATTTTATGCGTTCCACCCTTCCAGTCGTCTCGACTGAACCCTTCACGCATTTGTTGCAGGCACGAAGTGCATGTGATCGTGGATGAGGTGTACGCACTGTCGGTGCACGGAGGGGGAGCTGGGGGAGAGGAGACAGGAGGAGAGGGGGAGGGCTTCCGCAGCGTACTCAGCTACGACGACCTCCCTGACCCCATGCGTACCCACTTCGTCTGGGGCATGGCAAAGGTCAGGACCCTAGGTCTAGGGTATAAGGTCTAGGGCATAGGGTATAGGGGTAGGTCTAGGGTATAAGGTCTAGGGTATAAGAGCCGACCCTCTAGGATGTAAGAGCCGACCCTCTAGGATGTAAGAGCCGACCCTCTAGGATGTAAGAGCCGACCCTCTAGATGACTGATTCGACAATCTAAGGTGCCAGATCCGATCCTATAGGTCGTTGAACCCAACTCTCTAGGATGCCAAACCCGAACCTCTAGGGATCCAGCCTCGACCATCTAGATTCTTGAAGGCTGATCCGACAATCTAGGGTGCCAGACCCGACCCTCTAGCGTGCCAGACCTGACCCTCAAGGGTATATATATAATACCCGCTCTTCAAGGGTACCTCTAGCGTTCGAAATTTAGCACTCTAGGGTTATAGACCTTACCTCTAGAGCACTGAACCAGGCCCTTTAGAATGCCAGACCTGACTCTAAGCGGTGCCAGACTCAGCCTTCTATGGTAACAGACCCGGCCAAGTTGCCTGAACCGACACTCTAGAGTGTCATAACCGACCCTCTTAGGCACCATTCCTTATAGTCTTTAGGGTGCCAAAGCCGACACTCTAGAGTGCCAGGCCTGACTTTCTAGAGGGTCAGACCCTACATTCTAGGGTACCTGACCACACCCTTTAAAGTACCAGACCTGACCCGACTCTAGAGAGGGTCAGGACTCTCTAGAGGGTCATATTTGACCCTCTAGGAACACCATACATTACTCTGACCCCTCGGATATTAGAGTTGCAGAGTTTTATTTTTAGGACTTCGGGTTGGCTGGACTGCGCATCGGCGTGATCCACACCCGCGATCCAGCGGTGCTGGCCGCTCTGAACGTCGCGGGGATCTACCAGGCAGTGCCCAGCATCGTCCAGGACACTGCGGCCACGCTACTTAGTGATGAAGGTACCGAGAGAGTAGGAGAGACGAGATAGAGTTGTGGTAGTGAGGTGGTAGAATGGGGGTAGAATGGTGGTAGAGTGTTGGTAAAGTGCTGGTAATGCGGTTGTAGAGTGATGATAAAATGGTGATAGAGAGGTTGTAGAGTGGGGGGAAAGTGGTGTAGAGTTGTGGTAGTTTCTCTGACTTATGAATACAGTTGTGCGCGATGCGCATCAGCGTGCGGTAAAACGACGTCACGTAACTTCTTCAACAAGGTTGACAAACACCGCTGCCGGAGTTTTCGTTCGGAACTGCCTCTAGCTCACCTGTCCCATTCTGCTGTGCGCCTTCACGCTAAACACTGCGACGTGACTATTGGGAAATATTTCAATAATTTTTATTTTGATTTTTGAATCTGTGAAATTTTTTTCATGGGAACCTTGATTCAAAAGTGCTGACAGTTTTTTTCGACTTGAAATCGTTCATCGATAGGTTTTTATGTTCATTGTCCCGTTTATTCGGTACATTATTTTTTTTAGAGTTTTAATTTGTTTGATTGTATTTATCAAATTAAAATTTAATTACACTTGTATTTATCAAAATTGTTTCAAACGTTTTCGCAGGAAGTGAATTCACTTCGCGTTCTCATTGCTTATAAATTTTTGGTTGACTTACAATTCCAGCAAAGTAATGATTTAAGTATTGGTAACGATATGTTATCGCAATGGTATTCGCGATGACGTGGCATAATCATCGCATCTGGAAGCGTATATATATTAACAATAACGTTAACGGTAGTCCGCAGTGTGGTAACCTTAACATTAGTTTGCTACGTGGTTACATGCAGTATTTTTCAGCGTTGTAACGGTAACGGTATTATGCAGCTTGGTTGCGGTAACGGTACTCCGCAGTGAGGTAACCTTTACGGTATTTTGCTGTGTTGTAACAGTATTTTGCAGCGTGGTAACAGTACTTTGCAGTGCGGTAACAGTATTCTGCAGCGTGGTAACAGTATCTTGCAGTGTGGTAACAATACTTTGCAGTGAGATAACGGTATTTTGCAGCGTGGTAACGGTAACAGTATTTTGCAGCGTGGTAACGCTAACAGTATTTTACAGCGTAGTAACGGTAACGGTATTCCTCAGCTTGGTGCGACGGTTTCTTCCCAGCGTCGCGGGCGCGACTGCAGCAGCGCTACCGCGACGCCGTGTCGCTGCTGACGAATGAAGGAGTCGCGGTGCGACCAGGGCAGGCCGGGTTCTTCCTCTGGGTCGACCTCAGACCCTACCTGCGGGACCAGACCCCAGCGGCAGAAATGGGTGGGTGCAACATACGTACAAATGTTGAGGTCTAACAAACGTTCCAACGTCGAGGGCAAAGATACATGCAAACGTCAAGGTATAACATTCGTTAAACGTTAAATTCCAACAAACGTTAAGATCCAACGTACGCACCAATATTAACGACCAAGATACGTACATGCGTTAAGGGCAAAGATACTTGAATATGCAAAATTAAAGATAAGAACAGTTAGCTACGGAATTATTCGTACACCCCTTTATTTTCAATGTTATCATGAATAACTCGAAAATTACTGAATGTATGAGCGTACGATTTGATTGGACCAAGCAGTAAGTACTAGGGAAAATAGCACTACATTCCGAGAACAAAATGTAATTTCCAAACGGTTTAACATGCAGAAATTCCCCAACACCTTCAGCATCAATTATTCGCACAGTTGGAAAATATACTAACATAGTTTGCAATAATAATAATTAATGGTATGTCCTTTCATCTTCAAATCCCCATCAATCTCTTTCTATACTTTTTGATGGGATTTGCAGTGGTATCCTGGTTGATAGTATCCTATTCTTCAATTGCGACTTATTTCAATTTCTGGCGATTCTTGGAAGCTCGATTATTGATTCTAACTTTTAATTCTTGTCATAAATTCTCAACTGACTTCAAATTGTGGCTATTTGCTGGTCATGGAAGAACATTCACCTTTGTTTTATTAAGCCAATTGTTAGTTGTAGCTTTCGATTTATGCTTCGAATCATTATCATGCTCAATTATCCATGATCCCAGAACCAAAGGCCGAACGGATGTTAACGGGTTTCCTTCAAAATCGGTATATAAACATCTGAGTTCATTATTCTACCATTTGGAACTAACTTCCCGGTGCCACTTGAAGAGAAAAAAACACAATACATCATTGATCCACACCCAGGCACAATTGTTGGGATAGTGTTCTTAGGAAGGATACCCTACCTATTTTTGCGCCAAATCTTCGTATTAGTAAGTCCAAATAGCTCAATTTTCATTTCGTCACTCCATAATACTTGGTTCCAAAAGACTTCGCCTTGTCCACGTAAGATTTTGCTAATGAAAACGAGCAGCAACATGACGTTGTGTGTGATGTGGGACTCGTCGAGGTCTGCGTCCATGTAGGCCATTCTTGTTGAGACAACGCTGTATGGTGCGCTGACTCACGCTTGTTCCCTCACTGGCTAATCTATTGGTAATGCCCTTCCAAACCACTCTTTTATTCATATTTTCCTCACGACACAGTTTCCGAACTGATCGCACCAATAGTTTTGGGCTTCCGTTCTCGTCTAGACAGCGTGAGTGCAGTACCAAACTCTACAAACGTCTTTATCACCGACTGTACGGTGGATCTTTGAATATTCAGGCGTTTTGAGATGCACCCATAACCGGTTCCAGATTTGCATAGGTCATTAATTCTTTTTCTCAAACCCACTCTGAACTTCTTCGTCTTGCCAATGTTGAAGTTTGCAGTCAAATGGCAGGAACCGACATCTCTTGCATGACGTCACCGATAATAAAGTCCACTGGGATAATATTAAACGGGATATTATTGCAAATCTCATCAAAAACCACACAATGAGACTGCTGGAGGATATGAAGATGGAGGACATGACATTGATTGTTAATATTACAACTATTTTGGTATTTTCCAACTGTACGACTAACCATGTGCGAAGGGGTTGGGGAATTTTTGCATGTTGAAACGTTTTGAAATTACATTTTGTTCTGAAAATGTAGTGTTATTTTCCATACTAAATAGGCTTAATTAGTGTAATCCAATCTTAGGCTCATACATTCATTAATTTTCGAGTTATACAATAAAACATTGAAAATAAAGGGTGCACAAATGATTTCGTCGCTAAGTGTACAAACAATGTAAAGGTCGGAGACACGTTACTCGTATATGAAAAAGTCAAGTGCGAACACGTATAAATAATCAAGATACGTTAATATGAATGAAATGCAAAGCACGAATGAAATGATCAAAAATACGTATATAATTAAAGGTCGAAGCAGCGTATATTTGGGTAAACGTGTGTCAGATGTGAAAAGTGGGTCAAGATACCGAGGTACTCGTATTCAAGTGAGTTATTATGAATGAACCTCTCCTCTGTACCTAAATAATAAAATTATTATTAAATTATTAACTTTAATAATATAAAGTATAATAATAATAATAAATTTAATAATAATAATTTTATATTTAATTAAATTAGTATAAAATTTCTACACAATATAATCTCGCCACGTGTGGGGCTGCGGTCCCCCAGAGCTGTTTGAACGCCTCATCGCCGCGGGAGTGTATGTGGTCCCTGGTGGTGAACTACGGTGCGCGGTACCGGGGTGGTACCGCATCATCTTCTCCGTCGACCTGGACCTCCTCACTGTCGGTACGTGGTACCTCACCGTCGGTACGTGGTACCTCACCGTCGGTACGTGGTACCTCACCGTCGGTACGTGGATCGGTACGTGGTACCTCACTATCGGTACGTGGCACCTCACCGTCGGTACGTGGTACCTCACTGTCGGTACGTGGTACCTCACCGTCGGTACGTGGCACCTCATCGTCGGTACGTTTTAATTCAATATACTGTAATACACGTCATTTAATAAGCTTGAGTTCCATCAATTTGTAGAATTCTCAGTTACCCGCTTGCTACCTCCTCTATATTATTTAATAACTCGCACCAATTAATAACGTAAATAATCTATAATAGACAAAAATTGCAATGATCTCTGTTGTCATTAATGAATCAAATTGTTCTTTTCTGTGCAGGACTGAAGCGTCTCATTGACGTCGTCAAGAGCAGGATCTAGAAACGTCCTATGGGTGTCAGACCTGTAGCTGTGTACACGTCCATTACACACGTCCTAGTCGTCCATTGTACATGTCTATTGTACACGTCCATTACACACGTCCAAGTGGTCCATGGCACATGTCTATTGTACACGTCCATTACACACGTCCAAGTGGTCCATGGCACATGTCTATTGTACACGTCCATTAAACACGTCCAAGTCGTCCATGGCACATGTCTATTGTACACGTCCATTACACACGTCCTAGTCGTCCAATGGCACATGTCTATTGTACACGTCCATTACACACGTCCTAGTCGTCCAATGGCACATGTCTATTGTACACGTCCATTAAACACGTCCAAGTCGTCCATGGCACATGTCTATGTACACGTCCATTACACACGTCCTAGTCGTCCAATGGCACATGTCTATTGTACACGTCCATTACACACGTCCTAGTCGTCCAATGGCACATGTCCAATGCACATGTAAATTACACACGTCCTAGTCGTCCATTGCACATGTCTATTGTACACGTCCATTACACACGTCCAATGCACATGTCTATTGTAAATGTCATCAATTCCAGACACCTGGCTTACCACCCGGTCTACCACCTAGCTAGTACTCATCCCGTACCACCAACGAATGTGACATAGTAACCTATACTAGTAGCATTAGTACTATACGTAACTAGCGAGTCCACATCCCTGCCATGACCGCGAGACAAACTACACTCGATCCTGCGAGCGTTACACTCGATCCTGAGCGCTTCTTTAATAATTTTAACAAATGCAACTTCACTCAGAGTACTGAATGGGTCATGTTGTCCAAATAGTGACCCAAAATTCTTATCCACAGCACGAGCAAACAGCGTACGTAGCACTGATACACTTTTTTTGTGGACCAAACAGTGTTAGGATGACCCGGATTAGCGCAAAAGGTGCATTTCTATTGGGGCAAAGTCTTATCCATTTCTTGTAGTCTTCACACTCGTATGAGATAAGCGTTTAAATTCTCAAGCTACCCGATCTATTTCTTCGCTACCGGCATGCGGAGAAAAAAATATAAAATATCGTGAATGAATAAATGCAATTAATAATTCCTTTTTGCCCAAACATTACTGTTGCGGCAAAACTTTTTTTTGCAAATGTTGAAAAATTTTTGTGTAGGTCTGTTGCTGCAGCTTATGCTTGAAATAGAATTTTTACCACAAGTTTGTTGTTTGAATTTTTGCCTAATTAAATGTCGGGTATTACGCGATCACAAAAAAAATATTCACAAAATATCTATTCGGAGATATTTTGTACAGGAAACCTACTAATCACGAAAATGGAGTGCAACTCATATTTATAATTGCTTTTCTGTTTTTTTTTCGAAGAAATTGGTAAAAATTGTCGAGGAATACTTAGTCTTAACCACCGAGACCTTGGCCGTTGACTGCTTTATAAGGGAAGGATGTTATAGAAAACAAATAAAGAATGATGGCCACAAGAAGACCACCTGAAGACCACCTGAAGACCAAATGGAGACCACCTGGAGACCACCTAAAGACAACCTGAAGACCACCTAAAGATGACCTAAAGACCACCTGGAGACCACCTGGAGACCACTCCAGGACCACCTGAAGACCACCTGAAAATTCCCTTAGGACCACCTAAAGACCACCTGAATATTACCTTAAGACCACCTGAAGACCACATGAAGACCACCAGAAGACCACCTGCAGACCACCTTAAGACCACCACATAGCAAGGTAGCCACTGATATGGAGTTGAAGATACTGCGGGAACAGGTTTAGGTGCTGAGAAAAATAACAAGCGACCTGCCGGTCGAAGGGCTCAGTGATTTCGCTGATCGTTGAAAAGAACTCTTGTACATGTAAAGAAATTAAATTATATCGTAAATGTGTCATAGTAAAAGTCTTTACGACGAGATGATTCTAAAATAAACGATTGATTAAGCTTTTTTGGAGATTGATGATTTACTGATTTTAATAAGATGTAGCAACATAGACGCTGTCATAAATTGTATGGTAGTAAATGTAAATAAATATGTTGCAACTCGCAATATTGCAACTTAATATCACACAGCTTACAACATTGTAGATTATAAAACAATATTACGTTACTTGCATCATCGTAACTTACGATGTCGTAGCTTACGTAGTCGTATCTTCCGACGTCATTCACCATGCCAAGACATCGAGGTAACCAGAAGTTTCCAAACGCCCCCTATATCTTAATATCAATACCAATAATATAATCCTATCGTCTCACATCCCACGATGTCTACAATAATGTGCTCAAGCAGCGTCTTCCATTTTTACCACCAGTACCACACCAGTACCACCAGTACCACCAGTACCACCAGTACCACCAGTACCACCAGTACCACCAGTACCACCAGTACCTCCCGTACCACCAGTACCACCAGTACCGCACCAGTACCACCAGTACCACCAGTACCCGATCCTATACGACTGGCGATAGCTAAGGCCCTCATCATTAAGGAGAGGACTCCAGCTATCAACCTTCAAACCACCGGCTTCGTCGGAATTTTGAGATTGTTTTCCGAGTAGTTTTTTGCGCTTGTAAAATCTTCCTGTAGTATAACATTAACGAAATTTTAGCATTATTTGAATGGTATCCAATTTACTTGATTGCGCACAAATGTTAACCCAAATTTCGTTACTCAATGCGTCTTTAACTTGAATATGAATGTTGTATATTTGAAACGTCGTTCAAAATTAAAAATGTCTATCGGAAATTTAATTTTCAATCTTCCAATACCTACAAAGAATTTAGTACGACTTATTGAAAAAACTAACAAGAAGCTAATAAATAAAACTAATTCTCTGGTCTTTAACAAAACTTGCTTAAGAGAGGAAATTCTGCCAGCCTACACTAATATTCGCACTCATGACCCGGCAGCGAGAGAAGAAATGATCACTGTAAGATACAGGAATGACCTAATTCGGAGACAAATCGAACTAACTAATAATGAACTTGAAAATACGAAATTTGAAATCGCCGAAAATTATCGGAAACTCTCTCGGAGCATCCCCAACGAGCAACTACATATCAAGATCCTGGACGAATTGAGCAGACTCCGCGACGCCCATGATAACTTCGTCAAACTTCGGACCCTGCGCAAACTTAATCGCCTGTACAGAGGAGACATCTGCTTACCACAATGCACTGAAGGTTACATTAACCTCTCCTCCCAAACTCTGGACGACAAGCAAGCGGAACTTTTGAATCTCGGACTGAATTGTCATTTGATTTCAAAATTTAACAAGACAAAGAAACAAATCGAACTTGAATTATTGTATTAGTCTTTATTGAAATTAAGGAATGAAAATAAAATTGACATAAACCCAAACTTGAATGATCAATTTAGAGCTGAAGCAACAAAACAATGAGGAACATTGACGTCTAAATCCTAACGCCAGATCTAAGTCAGGCTGCGAAAAAAGCTCAGAGATAATGACCAAATTGTGACACGCAAAGCCGACAGGAGTAATTTGTTTGTATTTTAGATAAAACTGAATACGTCTCAAAAATAAGTGACATCCTATCCGATGGCTCAAAATTTTGTCGAATTACACGAGACCCAACGGAACAAGTGCAAAGGAAAGCTAATAAATTGATCAATACGGTCAACTCAGTTGGCGGATCTCAAAGGCTCACTCCAATCGTGGGTAGTTACTCTCCCGTTTACCATTACGGATACGTCAAACCCACAAAGAAGGCAATTCACTCAGACCCATAGTATCTCAAGTAACCTCTCCAGTATACAAGACAGCCAAATAATTGGACACCATAATAAAACCGTATATTCCAAATCAGTTCTCTTTAAAATTCAAGGACGACTTTTTGGAAGTCATCCGCGCTACTCGCCCTTCTGGTCTTCTAGCTTCGCTAGACGTCACCAGCCTCTTTACCAACGTCCCAACTGAAGAAACCTTCGAAATTATTGCCAAACATGTATACTCGCATTCAACTTTGCCGGCTCTACCGATACCGAAGAAAATTATCCTTGATCTCCTTTGACTGTGCACTTCCGAATCACATTTCCGGACTCAAAACAATAAAATTTACCGAAAAACTAACGGCGTTGCCATGGGCAGCTGAGGTACAGAGGAACCGGAAGAGCTGGAATGGATCACCGCTACCTGGCACCTGACAACTCGGAAATCGAAGAGAAGCGACTCGTTCGCGATCTAGGAGTGTTGATGAACAATCAGGTCAATTTTGGTGATCACATACCGGCAATAACCGCAAAAGGTAGACAACAGATGGGGTGGATCTGGCGGACGTTCCGAACGAGAGAAGCGGAACCGATGATCACACTCTTCAGAACCCTTGTAATACCTATCCTTGAATACTGCTGCCAGCTCTGGACTCCGTTCACACTAGGCGCAATACGGCAACTGGAAGGAGTCCAACGAACCTTTACTTCCAGGATCAGAGGGATGGAGAATTTTAACTACTGGGGGAGGTTACAGCGACTGAGTCTGTACTCACTGCAGAGGAGACGGGAGAGGTATGTCATTCTGTACACATGGAAAATGATAACCGGAATGGTGCCAAACTTCGAGAGCGAGACCTTCAAGATTCAGACATATCACAACGAGAGAAGAGGGAGACTGTGCAAGATCCCTCCCCTGCGTAACAGATCCGCAGTCAGATTTCAATCCCTGCGAGAAGGATCACTCTCCGTGGCAGGACCAAGGCTGTTCAACGCCCTACCAAGGGATCTAAGAGAGGGGGAATTTACCCTGGAGACCTTCAAGAGACAGCTAGACGTGTTCCTGAGCACAATTCCAGATCGACCTCCCCTGCAACACTACCAGCGGCGAGAAGCAAGCAACAGCATCGTGCATCAGGTGGCCCAAATGAGGGCGGATGAACGATAATCAGAGGCGGCGATCCATCGTGGCCTGGGACTGCTATGTCCCAAACAAATACTAAGGATACTAAGGATACTAAGGCAGTCTTCTTGGTCCCACCTTCGCAGACTACTATATGTGCGAAATTGAAAACAGAGCTTTGTCAGATGGACAGATCAAGCCTGAACTGTAGTGCAGATATGCCGACGACATCTTCGTCGTTGTTCATGATGAAAAACATTTCAAAAAACTGCGTATAGCCTTCGAACTGAATTCAGTCTTAAAGTTTACTTATGAACTCGGACAAAATCGCACCTTGCCTTTTTTATATGTATTCGCAAAAGTCTAAAATAATTCAGTTGTCACAAAAGTATATCGGAAACCAACAGATATCGGAAGGGTCCTGAACGCTGCCAGCGAATGACCGGAAGGCTTCAAAAAAGCACAATACGCGCCCTCGTCTAAAGAGCTTTTATGACCTGCTCAACTGAAGGTGATTTAAATACCGTACTGTGAAATTGTAAACCGATCCTAGTCAACAATGGTTTTACAAGTAGTACCAGCGATGAGGAAATCTCAAGACTCCGATCAAAACAAAAAGGACTGGAACATAATAAAAATTTTGCTACTATCTACTGCCAGAACCAAATGACCAGTGGCTAAAAAGCAGATGAGCGGATCATTAAATCTATCGTTCACAACAATATCGTGAACAACCCAAATAACAACAAAAGTAAACTACTGATCTACTATAGAAAAAAAAACATGAAAATTCGGAATCTTGTCATGAACTATAACCTTTGCAAAACCAGAAGTTCCTAATGCCCGCTATATTTTAATATCAATACCAATAAACTAAAGGATCCTACATCCCACGATGTCTACCCTTAAAAACATGTGCTTCCCTTAAGCAACGTCAACATTGACAGCGTCAAACTGCGTGTGACAGGGACATAATCTCAGTATAAATAACACCCTGGAGTCCCTAACCTAACCTCAGTTTCCCCCAGATAGTTTATCGAGGTTGACACAACCATGTCCAAGAGCATGGTCATCCTTACCAGGAAAAGGCCTTACAGTCCTCAACCCGAACTCAGGTTCTATTACCATGTCGGCCCTGCTTTAAAAAAATAACTTGGCACTCCTCACCTAACCCCAGATTCCATCAGTTATTTCTGGGCTGCAGCAGGAGTACACAGTTTATACATTCATTGAAAAAACAGGTGTCCTATCCCTAACCTGGCGGGTCCCATCCGACTGCAGAAGGGACCCGTTGGGGTCCCACCTGACGAATCCGGTGGTCTGCAAATTGATAGCAGGAGCCTCCTCCATGATGATGAGAGCCTCCGATATTGACAGTCTCGTAGTGTCGGGGCACCGCATGACAATGCTGGTGCAGGCCTCCAACGTGGCACGGGTGATGGTCTCGTTGTGGACCTCCCGCATATGATTCTTTGGTCCTCCAGCGTGCAGATGGCATGTGAGTCGGCGGCTCAATGTCGTGCTTGTCAAACCGATGTAATTTACATTTTGGAGAATTATACAACCTTCTTTCAAGCAGGAAAATTTGTAAATGACATTGGTTTCTTGTAGCGGTCCGGACTTTTTGCATGGATTGTTTTTCATGATTAAATTCTTGATTTTTTTGTTTTTGTAGTAAATCAAAAATTGCATTCGGTCAGTTACTGTTGTGCAGCTGATGTTATTTTGCACAATTGATTTGAGGACTCGGTCAAACGAACGACCGCCGTTCGTTTCGGTCCTATGACCGCCGTTCATTTGATTTTGATAGTAAATTCTGGTGACGCAACATCTTGATGTGGATTCATCTATTCGGTTATGACGTGCTCTGATATATGAAATTTCTCTGTCAGTCGTTTTGTTTGTACAACCGTTGTTGACAAGAATTTTTTGCAGGTCCGGAGTTCAGTTTTTAAGTCCCGAGCGGATGTACAGGTCTTGAACGCTCGATGTATGAGGGCCCGTATGGTGCTGATTTTGTAGCGCTGGGGACATTCGCTTTCTTGGTTCAGGACCTTTCTGACGTCTGTAGGTTTCCGATAAACTTTAGTGACGATCGAATTATTATCGTCTTGCACCAGTATGTCCAGAAAAGGCAAAGTGTGATTTGTCCGAATTCATGTGTGAATGTCAAACGGAATTGCGTTCTAAAGCCGCGGGCAGCTCCATCATGTGAACTTCGTCTCGAACGATGACGAAGTGGTCGTCGACATATCGACAGTAAAGGTAGGATTAATTTGTGCATCCAACAATACACGGTTTTCGAGTTCGCACATGTAGAATTCGGCAAATGTTGGACTAAGAGGTCTGCCCATTGCTACATCGTTAATTTGCTGGTATATTTTGTTTTCTGTGGTCCGAAAAGGCGATTCCAAAGTACAGAGGCAGAGGAGATCAAGTAGTATATTTTTAGGGATTGATGGATCCGGAAAAGTTTCATTAAAGTATACATATTTGACTATTATTTCTTTAGTTTTTTCGGTCGGGAAGTTGGTGAATAGGCTATTGACGTAAACTGAAGCGAGCTGACCAGATGGGCGCCGATTGCGAAGGATCTCCAAGAAGTCTCTTCTAGATCTGAGTGAAAACTTCTTCGATATGTTCGGTTTTATTATAGCATCCAATTCCTGGGCTGTCCGGTAGATTGGAGAGGTGACTTGAGCGATAATGGGCCGGAGTGGATTATTCTTGTGATTTTTAACATTTCCATAGAGGTAACCTGGCAAAAAACTACCGACGATCGGGAATAGCTTTCTTGAGCCGACAACTGAGTTCGCTATATATTCTGTAGGGTCTCATCCGACGCGACGGAATTTGGAATCGTCCGATATGATGTCACTTATTTTATAAGTGACATTTTATGATGTCACAAATATAGTCAGTTTTGTCCAAAGTGATGAAGATGCAGCTCTTATC